AGTCGACGTTCGATAAATAGTCCACCCGGGCCTTAATGCATTAGATAACATCAACCGATTTCTTCTATTATCTTCAATATTACCTTGAAATACAAATCACCAGATATTTAATAACGATTTTATTGATTTATCAAAGCTTATAAATGTTTATTTATTGAATTAACTGTAACTTATTCATTTGAAGTATGTAATTTTAGATGAAGAGCATGGGGGCACTGTGCACACAACCGATGGCCCCGAGAATCTGATGAAAACATCCTGGATGCAGGTTTCATCGGTGATGAGACAGCATTCTGGAACGTACCAGTGCATTGCTAACAACACACTAGGGCATGCTAGTTCCGCTGCCTTCTTGTCTGTCATGATATAATTCAAAATTCCGTTTCGAATGGAAGCCTCTTCTCATTCATCTCCGGTATATCTCCAGACATTTTATCATACAGTATAAATACCTACGAACTCTACACCTTCTATGAACAATTTCGGTGACTATTATGAAGTCGTAATCATGTGACCTCACGTATGAAAATATTTGACCAAGAGATTTGACGCATTCGGTGGGAAATTTCAGTGAATTTTTATAGGATTTTAGTCCCCTTAACAGTACGATTCTAACCTCGCTTCGCTCCGATATATCGCAGTTTCCAGTCCTTACGAGAATAAAATATTATGTGCCTCACGGAAATAAAAGTATTTTTCACGCCTAGGACGGAAAAAGGGAATCTGACGAATGCGACTTTATAGTCCGAGTTGGAGTCGAGGATTATATTCGAGATCATATCAGAATCACTTTTCTCGCCGTGGCTATGATGCTATTTTATGTCATTACCGGCCGTAATGACATAAAGTATTTTTTGACTCATGTGATTATAACTGTCGCTCGGATTATAAACTCACACTTCGTCAGAAAATACTTTACTCCCTAGAGGGACAATATACTATTGTGTCAGATATATCGAAAATGGAATATTCGATGTATCGATTTGAGGTGAAAATCGATCACTCGTAATTTCATGTGGTCATATTTACTTGAGTTGTAGTGGGTAGTAAAAAATTATTGAATAAAATCCTGGAATTTGGCAGTTGGCGATTGTGTAGATACTATAGTTATTCTTTAATAAAAAAGAATGAATTCGTGGAATCTATAATCTAAAAATTTGAATACTAATTTTCTATAGCTAAATTATTGACATATCCATTATTAAATACTCCATGTGTGGAGATTCGCACAAAAAATGAAAACGATTCAATAATTAAATATTCTGCAGATCGATGATTCGAATAATTAATTTTCAATAATTTAATTTAAAAATGGACATATGTTGATAATTTGTGTAAGGATTCTCTGCATCTAGAGGCAGATTTGAACTTGCGATCTTTAGATTACTATTGAGCTGATAAATCGTTACATCTAAATTCATAGATTATAGATTCGCCACGAATTAATACTATTTAATAATTAAATATTTACAGTGCCTGTAGAATTGCCGGTGGCCGTTTTAAAAAATGATCAATTCAACAAAAAATGTAT